GAATCCCCTTCCCAGGGGTTCCTTGGGCACTGGGAGTGCCTCAGTGGGAGCTCACATCTGCTCAAGGGATGTGGGGGATAATGGGAGAGCCTTCTCTCTTGAACCTGGTGTAAGGATTGGACCTGAATATCCCTGAACTCCAGAGGCCAAGGAGAGTACAAAGGATCAATGGTCTGTGCTAGGGATGCTGCAGGACACAAGGGAATGGCATGAAGCTGTGTCAGGGGAGGGTTAGGCTGGATATGAAGAAAAGGTTGTTCCCCTAAAGGGTGATTAGGCACTGGAACAGCTCCCCAGGGCAGTGGTCATGGCCCCAAGCCTGACAAAGCTCCAGAAACATCTGGATGATGCCTAATCATCTTCCCCTTGAACACTGGGGGCAGGTTTGGGCACCACAAGATAAGAAAGAACTAAAGCTATTAGAGAACATCCAAAAGAGGCTACAGAGATGGTGAAGGGTCTTGAGGGGCCATATAAGGAGTGGCTGAGGTCACCTAGTCTGTTCAGCTGGAGGAGACTGAAGTCAAACCTCATCAGGAGACCCTGAGGGGCAGTGCAGGGACAGCACCAATCTCTGCTGTCTGGGACCAGTGACAGGACATGGGGAAGGGCTGGAGCTGTGCCAGGGGAGGGTTAGGCTGGATATTAGGCAAGGGTTGTTCCCCACAAGGGCGTTTGCGCACTGGAAAAGGTTCAGGGTGGATATTGGGAAAAGGTTCTTCCCCCAGAGGTGTTTGGGCACTGGAACAGCTCCCCAGGGCAGTGGTCACAGCCCCAAGGCTGACAGAGCTCCAGCAGTGTTTGGCCAACGCTCTCAGACACAGGGTGGGTTGCTGGGGAGTCCACCAAGAGCTGGACTGGTGAGCCCTGAGGATCCCTTCCGGCTCAGGCCATTCTCTGAGTCTCTAAACCATGCCCTGGGAGCTGCCTGCAGTGGAGCTGTCCCTATCCCTCTCTGCTCTGGCTCCAGAGCTGCACCCCAGGGTGAGATTTATCACCTTCACCAGGAGCCTCCAGCACAGCCCGTGTGGATGTACTGCAGAGGAGCTCATTCCTTCCCATTGATTATCCAGACAGACACAGAGCTGTGATGGATATGCCAACACGGGCAGCGCCCACACTTCAGAGGCATCATTTGCCTCCCAAGAATCTGCTGTTTCATGAACAAAACAAGCTGCTGTTTGATGAATGAAAGCTGTGCAACTCCTCGTTCTGCAGAGCAGGAGCTCTCTCCTGCTCTCCCTGCTGCAGTGCCTGTGCTGCCCAGGTAATGACACATTATGGGAACAATAAGCATTTTCTGCAGCCTTTGACACGAGCAGAATCACTGCGATTTGCCCAGCAGCCAGAAGCAATAAGCCACCCACAGAAAAAAAGCATTTGCAAAATAGACTGTAAATGAAGTTCAGAGTAGTAGTAAAAAGAAATAAATTCCTGAAACATATAAACCCAGTAAATTTGTAGCTCAGTGCAGAGGGAAGTTTACTGCTACAGCTTTGAATCAGTGGCAATTACTTGGCAATGAGGACACAGGTATGGAGGAGCTACAGGTATGAAGGAGCTACATACACATGTGGCAGTAGGAGGAGAGAAGGTGAGACCTGTCGTGCCGAGGAGGAGCTTGGCTACTGGCAGGGCTGCAGCAGGCACTGTGCTTGTCCTGGCACATGTGAGCCACTCCAGGTCACACTTCCAGCAGCTCAAGTGCTTTTGCACACAAAAGGAAATAATCCTGAGCTCTTGCCATGGATGTGGGAGAGGACAAAACAGGTTTTCCAAGGAGTTTCAGCAAGAGATTGGCAAATCCGTGGGGAATAGGACAGCCCCAGGTACAGGGGCAGAACAAGCAGGCAGGAGGAGCTGCAGGAGCTACCTTGGTTCAGTGTTCTGTGTGCAGGAGGGTATGGACAAAGACAGAGAAAAACCATTTTGGGTCTCTCACCCCATCATCCTTCCAGGCTTTTCCCTCTGCTCTCCCAGAATTTATACAAAAATATAAAATCCAAGTATGTTACAGCAGTTTTGAGTGTCCAAGCTGTAAGAGGGACTTAATCTGAGCTGAGCACATTTTCCCAGTCTGTGCAGCTCAGCCTGGGCTGCAGCAGTTATCGATCAGCAACTTTTGGGTTCTTTCCATTTACACAATTCATCACTTCCTGGAGCTCACCCAAAGCCATTTACAGCATGAGATAACCGAATTTTCTGAAGCAAGTCAGCAGAGCCACAGTGACAGAGCTGGTTTCCCTCAGTGAGCAGCTCCAGCCTGCTCCAGGTGATGAAGAAGAAAGCTGTGCTGGCAATACCTCACACGCACAGCAGGCACCAGCCCTGCTGGCACTGCAGTCCCAGGTGTGCTCTGCCTGGGGGTTTGTGTGTTTGGCTGCTTTCTTTGGGGGGAAGGGAGGGAAAAGAGAGTTTTTACAATTTTACAATGCTTTGCTTTGCTTTGCTTACAAGCTGAATTTTGAGATACCTGAGTGTGCTAAATGGGCTGGAAGGGAGAGAGAGAACAAATGCACCGGAAGGAGACGGAGTCGGATGCAGCTTGGAGCAAGGCTGGGCTGGATGGCACAGGCACAGCAACACACTGCTCTGCACAGCAGAACACTGCAGAGCACAGCAGGCTGCAGGGCACAGGCAGCAAATGGGGGGAGGCAGCCTGTAAACAAGCCACAGAGTTTTTAATTACATTTTCAAGGAGCACAGTGCTTGCTCTAGTGCAGTGCCTGTGTCATCCTGCTAATTCAAATGTCCCAGGCTCCACGCAGATCTTCAAAGGATCAGTCCTGTGTGTTGTGTTGCCTTGCAATAAGCTTTCTCTGAGGAATACATGAAATAAGAGCAGCCTTCACACCCAGCTCCAGGCACAGAAAAAGCAGGACAGATTTTTACCAGTTTTGGTTGCAAGTTCAAGGAGCAGAACAGAAATTGTTTGAGATGTGTATGTGAGAGTCATCAAAAGGACTGCAGAGCTTTACAGCTCCCAGGGACAGAGCCAAGTGTGTCCTGCTGCCTGCCATGAGAGCTGCAGCTCTTGGTTTGTGTGTCAGCTAAAAAACACCTAGTGCCTGAGTGATGAACCCACCGCCCACTTAATTCTGCCTGGTTTCAAGAAAATAGGTTCTCTGTAAACTCTTTCAATCAGGACAGTGCAACACAAAGATTGATCCCCACTGCTCATCACCATCTCAAGGCAGAAGGAGCTGCAATAAAATACTAATGAAGGGGAGATTCAAGCCAGGCAGTAGTAAGGCTGGATGTACAGGCTGGTAACTCAGGAAAGCAAGAGCAAATCTGTATGTTGGAGAACCTTGGCCAGAGGAAAAGAAAAGATAATATTGTGGGGAGAAATCCCTCCCAAGTGAACGGGGAATGATGCAGAAAAAGAGGTTACAATCCCCTGTTAAGTGGTGCACAAGTAACAAGAACAAAAGAGGAACCTCTCCAAGAAATACACAAGCTTCTGATAATCCTTTCACAGCACTGGTCTCTTGTCCTGCCTCCTGAACTCCCTCAGGCACTGGGAGATTGAAGTCTTTACGGCAAATGCCAGCCACCAGCCCTGAGTCCTTTGCCAGAACATCACCCAGGCCCAGAGGGAACAGTGAGAACATACAAAACCTGGAGTTTGACAGCACCTACATCTGTCAGGGAAGCTGCGGCCGCCTCATCTCTGGGAGTGCCCAAGGCCAGGCTCGAGTAACTAGGGCTGGTGGAAGGTGTCCCTGACCGTAGCAGGAGAAGGAACTGGATGAGCTTTAAGGTCCTTCCAACCCAAATCTTTCTGAGATTCCATGTAAACTTGGCAACAAATCTGGAAGTTAAACATTCACCAAGTGCTACAGCTGCCCAGCT